GAGCAATCTCAAGATTTGAGGCAGATAACCCCGAAACATCAGTAGTAGAGGAGACAACTGGAAAAGAAGATGATGGCTCAACAGTGTCTGAAAGATGGGCTCATGCATTGGTCTCGTGGCCTCTAGGACCAAACCAACCTCCGCGAGTACAAGGACGATTGCCTCGGCCACCAGAGGGAGTGCCATGCAGCTTCTAACAAGTCCCTCGTGTGTGGCAAGGTCGACAACAGTAGTCACAGTACAGATTATCCTTCTCAGATGAAGGACAAGACCCACGAGTCACACGGTCACCATCGCGAGAGGGTGCAGAAACCAAGGCTGAGCAATCTGTAGCAGCAGAAGAAAGCATCGCAGAACGGCGACTCTCCTCATTCTGCACAAAAGCAAAAAATTCCTGGAGAGAAAGAAGCACATCCATGCCAAGTACCCTACTCTGAACCGGATCATACTCCACATTTAGGCCTTCCAAGAACTTGAAGAGCCGCTCTTGCGCCACAAACTTCCGGTAACCAGCAAAATCAGTGGGACAGACAAGCTTATAATCTTGAAGATGATCAAGCCGCTTCCACCTATTGCTAAGGAAGGTCAAATACTGGAGGATAATCTGCTCACCTTGTACCGACCTTTCAATGGAGCGGCGTAACTCTAACACCTGTGAGAAGTTTCCCTTCCTGGAGTAAGTAGTTGCTACGGCCTCCCAAATATCCTGGGCAGTGTCCATAGACAAATAGCCCTCTCCAATCTCCGGAACCATAGAATGGATCAACTAGCCCATAATCAGAGAATTAGTGATCTCCCACTGGTCATAATGAGGGTCGATAATATTGGGTGCCTGAACCAGCCCATCAACATATCTCATCTTCCCCTTGCTCTTTAAAAAAATAGTCAGACTCTGCAACCACGCTAGGTAATTCTGAAAATTGAATAGAGAGGTAGTGCTTCTAAGGCCAGTGTGGAGGGTATCAATCATAGTAGAAGGGAGGACATAACGCTCGCCCTGAGAGGTAGTAGATTCACTAGTCAAATCTGCCATGGGGACACTACTAACTATTCCTCAATCACAATGCCAATCACAAACCCGAAAGATGAGAGTGGAGAAACAAGCACAATACTAACTAGAAACGCATAAAGAACTATGATTTTTTTTTTTATAATTAACGACTTGGCCAACTTTTTTTTTTTTTTTTTTTTTTTTTGTGAAAGAGAATTAAAGGGTGTTTAATAACCAACCATTAAAAACGAAGGGAGACAAAGGCAGACGAAGGTAGACCCAGAGGCAAGAGTCGAAGTTGAAGATGGCAACAGAGGCAGAGGCAGACGGAAGGCTGGTCGACGAGGCCCAAATGGCCAGAGGGACTACCGACAACCCCCCAGGGAGTTCCGACAGAGGCCTAAGAAACTAGAGGGACTACCGACAACCCCCTAGGAAGCCAGAAGAACTGCTGATAGCCCCCTAGAAGGGGAAGGACGGTCGACGATGCCTAAGAGGCTGTCGAGAAAGCTGGGCAAAGGTGTGGGGACTGGGGTTTGACTGTAGGTAGGCTAGGTGTGGGCTACAGTGGTTGATTTGGACTGTTTTGATGGTCTGGACTGTTTTGACGGGAGAGGAAAGGCAACAGAGAGATGGGGCTAGGGTTTTGGCTCTAATACTATGTAGGTTTAGAGAAGTAATTAGGGAATGAGTTAAACTGCATTCCCTTTTATATTAATAATACTGAGTAATTACAGGAGTGCCATAGGGCATAATATATGGGCCAGCCCATTACTCCAACCAAAGGAATAAATAAGAATAATAAAATACAATCACTTATTTCCTATTCCAACAATTTATACATATATTTGGGTTAGGATAGTAGAGTTCAGAATCTACTAGGAAACCTAATATGTATAGAATTTGATTACCTAATTATATGGAACTAGGATTCTCGTGGATAGATTACTATAAATAGTCATATGGACTATAGGGTTTCATATGAGAGAGATTAAAGGAGTGGTGAAGGAAAAAAAGATAGAGATGTAAGGGGTAAGAGAAAAAATACCGAAGGTATCGAGGTGAGCCAAGGGCTCCACTACCCTTGAGCATGCGATTCAGGTAGTGGTGTGGGTTTTGAGTATTTCGACCGTCTCACATGTATTCTCTATTTTATTCATAGTAGAAACTCTCTCGCCTGTGGAGGTAGGCAATTTGGGCCAAATCACATAAATTTTTGTGTGATCAATTTTTCTCTTTAGTGTGTGTGTGTACTTCTGTTTGCATTGGTGGGATGTGGTATAAAATAAATCCCAAAAAGTAAAATCAGAGCTAAAGGTTACCGATTCTAGATACGGTTGGCAGAGGGTGCGATTACTGTACACGAAGGATTCACACAAAAGAGAGAGAAATCCCGGTGATACAGGGAAAAAAAATGCTCAAATCTAATGAAGGCTTCCGCAAGAAGAAACATGGCAGAAAGCAAAATAGATCTCAAGGTTTCAGGGGTTGTGGATTCATTAGTACAATCAGAATTTTCAAATTCTGAACAGGTTTAAAGGGATTGGACAGATTCAACGGTGATCTAGGTGATCAGGTTTGACCGCAGGTGATCAAGAGTGATCTAGGAGTAATCTAATTCAATCAACCAGGAAGTCTAGTCCTTGCAGGGACAATCAGACGGTGTTTTTTGATTGGGCATCATGATTGGCAACTTGTACAGGCTCGTAAAGTATGTTGTGACAAGAGGGGAGCTACTGTCAAGCATCAGACGAATAATATGAGTCGTGGGTGAACATTGGTGAGCAACAATTGTAGGGATATTTGGTGGTCACCAAGAGGAAGACAACGGGTTGCTGGATGTTCATAAAAGGAAGCTTCGGGCATAGAATCTGAGATGGTGTACACCAAGGGAGGACGCGATTCTCTTTTCTATGAAGGTTTTGGTTCGTGGTAGTGGAGACACCTTAGGGAGGTGCTACGGTTCTCATGGGCTCGAGCATGAGAACATAGGAAGCTACGATGGACACATTTGAGCACTATGGCATGAGGTGCGAATAATGTGGGCACTTGGTTCAAAGGGGCACAATATCTTCCAGGTGAAGGTGGAGTGTTCACAATATCTTCTAGGTGAGAGTGGAGTGTTTCATGCAAACTACGACATCCAAGTTGGAGGATGTATATAACATTTACCCCACATGGGTGGAAGGGGTGATTGTTAGAATTAGTCCACCCATGTAATAAAAAGTGAATCCCATAAAGTTATTAAGTTGGTTTATACATGCATTTGGGTTAGGATAGTAGAGTTTAGAATTTACTGAGAAACCTAATATGAGTAGGATGCCTAATTATATGAAATTAAGTTCTCGTGGGTAGATTATTATAAATAGTCATGTGAACTATAGGGTTTCTTGTGAGAGATTAAAAGAATGGTGAGGGGAAAAAAAAAATAGAGATGTAAGGGATGAGAAAAAATACCAAGGGCACCGAGGTGGGAAAGGGGCTCAACTACCTTTGAACATGGGGTTCAGGTAGTGTGGGTTTTGAGTGTTTCGGCTATCTCACATGTATTCTCTATTTTAATCATAGTGGAAACTCTCTCTCCCGTGAATTTAGGCAATTTGGGCCAAACCACGTAAATCTGTGTATAATGTGGTACAAATCCCAACTTCTTCTTTTATAGAGAGTCCTACAAAGGAAAATTTATAGAGGGTCGTATGGAGGACAAGTCTTTTGATCATTTTCCTACAATAATAATGTCATCCATTATGAGTTCAAGATAAAGATCTTGACCTCTAGTTTGAAAATTAGAAACTGCTGCCTTGTGCGCATGGCATAACTTGTTCCCAAAGAAATATTTGGTAACTGGTTTCCGTGGTTTCTTATAATTTTCTCATGTGGGCAAGTCTGTATCACTGAAAATCTCCAGTTTGACTAGTTTAGTAGACCATACATGTATTCTAAGCATTGCTCACCCTCCATGTGATGAGCTGCTTGAATTCCTTTGCTATGGTTGGAGTATCCAGGCCACAGTATTAGAAGTATCATGAGCCCCCTCATATAGTCGAAAACGCAGAAGACTCCCATGTACAGTACAGCCTCCTGCATGTGCCTGAAAGTTGTGTGGCATTCATCTTATGTGGTCGTTTCATGGGTGTACTAAACAGCTTATTTTGGCAATTGGCTAAAATAGCCAAAAAGCCACTACAAAAAAGTCAACTCTTCTCTCTCCTTTTTTACACATCTTCTTGTAAAAAATAAAAAAAAACAACTAAAATAGCCAATTCACGTCTTTTCTACAGGAGAACAACAATTACTCGTCGAGCTTTTTGGCTTCAATCAATAATCTTGCCGGCTTTCAGTTTGTCAATGAGACTGACTTGACTGGGAAGTGCCAATAATTCAACTCTGGAAATTTTCGGGTTCGTTTGGTTTGTATTTCTGAAAATATTTTGGGAAATTTTCTTTACAAATAAGTTTTTAACAGTAATCAAACCAAACAAATTTTCCCAAAAAAATTTCTCAAAACTTATAAACCAAACAAGTTTTCCAAACAAATCTCTCTCTCACACACATCAAATCAATCACTTTTTCCAAAACTCTCTCTCAAAATAATTTTTCAAAACATCTTTTAAAAAAAATCAAACCAAACAACTTTTCGTACTTTTTATCTCTAAAACACATCTCTCAAGCACAAACCAAACATACCCTTCATGTTTGTCAAGGATTTAAATAAAGATTTTAAGCTGGCAATCAATACTCCTACCACTGGCTGGGGACCATGTACAAGGCCGTCAACATCACATTAAAGAGAGCAACAATATTACTTATCAAATAAACAAATAAATAGAATACCAATATTAGCTGTAATGTCACTTGCAGGAAAAAAAAACTTTTTCCTGTGCAACAAATATAATAGATTCCATTTGCCTGACAAATATTAATCAAACATTCAATAAATGTCAGGTAAGCCATGAACAACAAATACAATAATCCCCTTATTGATTTTTCAACTGCAAAAATAACTTACTTGTTGAGCAGAAACCTTTGATATCCAGGAAGGAAGCAAACAAGGAGTATTATTCAGTGCATCATATGATGTCTCTTTCGCCTTTCCACAGTCAATAACAAAAACGACATCATTAATTGTTATACTAGTCTCGGCAATATTAGTTGCTAATACTATTTTCCTCACTCCATCTTCGGGCTCGTCAAATATCAACCTCTGTATGCATTTAAAAAAGAAAAAATCAGTAACTAAAAAAATCAACAAAAAACATATGGATATATAAATTTAATCTTCAAGAAGTATCTAAAAAGAGCTGGACAATGAAATTTGAAACCTTTCCTTCCTCTGAAGGCAAAATAAAATAAAACAAGATATGCCAGTGAAATTAAACAAGGAAAACTCAGACGAGCCAGATACAAAACCGATTAGCAGATTTCTATGAAGCACGGAAACTTCAAATTAGTCGTCGTAGTTATCTGACATATGTCAGATATTCTGGGACACATGACGGACACACCACATAACATGTCTATTTCATGTTACTTTTTTCTCATTGGACATGTTGGGAACGCATCATGAACATGCATGTCCCGCCTCTAGAGACCCCCTGGAAACAGTCATGAACTACTAGAAATGGCAGTTTGGCCCTACCCCTCCCCCCTCAGCTACTATGGCAGTTTTTGCCATTTTTCCCCCTATAGTGTTGGGGACAGTATTAATTTTTGGATCCCTGATGGGTGTTGGGTTGGGGACGGTGATAGGTACCCCCACCGCTTATGTGGCAGAGAGGGGCAGACAAGGGCTAGGAGGGGAGACGGATGGTGGGCCGGAGCTGCTGGTGGTGGTGGTGGTGGGCAGGATTAGGGATGTCAGAGATGGGATAAAATGGGAATTTTATGCTAGGGTAAAAATGTAATAAAAATATGGAGTGGTGGAGATCCAAAGAAAAAAGTGGATTGCTATTTGCAGCACTCACGAATAAATGAAAGACTTCAAATTGCTTTTCCTTTTTTCCACTCAACCTTCTCACCAGCCAAACAAACCCAACAGTGTCAGTAGATCAAAACACAAGACAACTAAAGAAAATAAATTTTGATTTCAAAAGGCCAAAATTTGTACTCTCAAGAATCAAAACCAACACAGCCTAAACATTGTTTGGAAGAGTTTTAGAAATGTAATTCCACCTCTTGATTAGAACATGGTGTTTGGTTATAGTTTTCAAAAATTAATTCCACACCCACTTTTGAAAATTCTTTCCATGGAGGAAAAATTTGGGCTTACTGGTCGTCCTCCCAGACGTCCGGCCGGTCATTCTCCCGGATGTCTAGCCCGGCTGGTTGATCGGAACAGTGCAATTTTTTTATTTTTTACACAATTGGAACCTCTTATTTTTTATATTTCAAACAAAAAAAATTGGAATTTTTAAAAAAAATTTATGAACTTTGAATAGAATTTTGAGTTGTAAGTTTGGTTATGAGTTGTAAGTTTTTGTATTAAATATCATGTCACATCAAAAATTCTGCACTCGATTCAAAACTCATTTACCAAACAAATTTTCTACACTCAAATCATAATTCCAAAACTTACAAACTCAAAATATAATTCTATTCTCAAATCATATTTAGAAAACTCTACCAAACGCTACCTTAAACTTTTTCCTCCACATTTCTTTTCCTTCCATGTCTCAGCTACCAAAAGAGAACAAAAATGTAAAAGCACCAAAAAAAGAAAACATCGCAACTATAACATTGAACTCAAAAATAAAACTGAACCTAGAAAACCCAAAATGCCAATGATGAGACAAAGCAAAAATATGTTAATTAGTAAAATGAAGATGATGAACCAAATTTGACAAATGGATTTCATTACAGAGAGAAAATCTCAATTAGAGATACAAGAGCTCTCAAGCACACAAAATACAATGTCAAAATATCATAAAGCTCCCTACTAAAGGACCTAACTACCAATTTATAGGCCAAAAGACCCAACTAACACTTATTTAGGTTGCTGAGCTAACAGAAAGATGTTTAAATGCCCAAACACCAATTGATAAGCAAAATCAATTAAATGAAACACCACAGCTATAGGTACACTAATGGATTAGTTAATATTACTCTGAAATACATGAAAGATGAGTAGCATACATGACCAAAGCCAAAGCACGGGAAAAACAATTATTATATGTCCAAATTACCTGCTCTTCACTCGCCATTGAACCATGGCACGCAAGCAACAAAACTCGGCCTGAATCTCCCAAGATAGGATGAGCAAGGAGCTTATCCTTCAGAGAGCTTATATCATCCCACCCCGTCATAAAAACTAAAACGGCTCCAGGCTTTTCTTTCTCACATATATTGCATAGAAGATATTCGATGAGGTTAAAACCAATGCAATCTGGATTCCAACAGGACAAAGAGTCTTGTGTGTCTGGAGAAAAATCCTTTAAATCAGCAGCTCTTAGTGCTTCCTAATTACATTTTTCCAAAAGAACATATCAGCACAGGAAATCCTAAAACATGAATTTTATGAAAGTAGCTGCCACAATTTTATCTACCTCAACAGCAGAAACAATTTGGCTCTTCCTCTTTCTTGGAGCTTGTTTGTTCATTTTCCACATCTTTTCCTGACCGTAATCATCTATTTGATTGTATGGGGTCAATCGGTACCCCGTCATTTCGAGAATATTTTCCAGGAAATGAGTTTGAACAGGGTAGGTAAAGCCCTAATTAAACCAGAAGACAAAAACTTATGCTCAATACTAAATCGATAGGTAACATGATCAGACAAGAATCGTTAAATGTGCATATCACATTAAATGAAAGTATCATCCTTTGCAATCTGATAAAAAATACTGCCAGAAAATGGTAATAAAATTGCTGTAGCATGAAATAAGAAACAAGTAAGATGAGACCTAAAACTTGAAAGGACAACCCTCACAAGTAACACATAACTTTTTTAAGTGTTTTATGTAAATATATATGTATATATATATATTATATACCCCATTATTAAAAAGAAACTCCCACTCCGTGTATCCCTTCAGATTTTTTACAATACCTAAATTTTCTCTGAAGTCAAACAACAATTACTTGTGTATGTAAATATCATCATAAAACAAAACGAGGATAATGATGTCAAACCATTATGCATAAGGGGCCCTCAGGATATTGCAGGGGAAATTGTGACAAAAACCCAAATTATTAAATGATGGCAGCCCTCAACAGTCTCATGCACTTTCAGAATTGTATATTTGCCTAAACAAAAATCTTTCCCAATAGGAGAATTCAACCATCAATTGGCAGTCTAACCAGTTTGTGCACCATAAACCCATCTAGAATATCTTTCTTCATGCAAAGATATGCTACAAAGTACAAACAACAATAAACATTCTAGTTTACCTGATTTCTTAGACAATAAACAATTGTGTTGCAGGGATGCCACTTGCTTATTCACTGTCTGGCACATCATCTTTGGATGCTTATTGTTGCAACTTGTGGTTGGGTTTGGGTGCAACTGGGTTCTGTAGTGGAGGTTTTATGTAGTTGGGGAGAAGGCGCCAAAAGGCGTGGATGCTTGCTGCCCATTGCTTAATGTGGGTGATTTGGTTAGAACGGAATAGGCGTGTTTTTCAGGGGGTGTCTCGTTCAATTGCGTGGTTGGAGGGGAAGCTTCTTAATGTGTTATATAGTTGGGTTACGTTATTTGTTGATCCGGATGTTTTGGCATTTGTAGATTTTGTGAAGGATTTGATTAGTTAGCTTTCCGGCCTTTGTTGATCTGTATTTTTGTATTTTTTGCGTCACCTTGATGCTTTTTCAATAGAGTTTGGTTATTTATCCAAAAAAACAAAAAAGTGAATAACAATCCCCGCCCCTTCCTTTTTCCTTTGTGTAGAGAAGAAGACCTTCTAATTTGTGTACGAGAAGTCACTGAAGGAAGCCTTGCAAACAACAAACAAAGACATGGATTACCAAGTAAATAATAACAGAAATCGTAATTATATGCCCAGGCCAAGGGTGGTTCTGGTAAGTTTTTAATTATATTTCTTTTCACAATACTTGGGATATTTACATAATATTAAGAAATTATTTTACACATTTTTTGGGTTCACATAGAGGTAAAAAGGAAAAATAGTCATTAGAAGATAATTATTTGGGCATTTTAGGAGTTTGTGTAATCATCCAAGAACCAATCCTTCTTTCATTAGGCATTTGCAAATCCCTTATTGATTTTTGTGAGACAAATTTGCAGTTGAGCCCACATTGCTTTCAAAGTTATTTCCAGGAAAAAAAAAAAAAAAAAAAAAAAAATCCAACAACCATGTTGAGAGGGGCATCCTTGATCAGATTCTTGAAAGGAAAGGCTTTAAAAAAGAAAAGAGTAAGGAGAAACAAAGATCGTTGTTATGGTCATGTAATATCCTACTAATTTTGCTGTTATTTTCAATGGGGAACCTAAAGATTGGTCCAATTCCTCTAGCACTTTGAGGAACATGATCCACTCCCCTCTTCCCCCAATTCACTTTAGGTGTGCACATCCTCAACAAATTTAATAAGAAAACTAAGGCTTTGATTACCATTGAAGGTTTTCAGGCTGGTAGGGATAGGATGGAAGTAATTACTCCACAATTGCTTATCATTTTTCTCCTCTGAGGAACAAATCAAAGTTCCCATCCATAAGTAGTCCACAAATACTTTGGCGCCATCACCAAGCACACCCAATTAATGACATCGATGTTCAACGAGAACAGCTCCAAAGGCTAGCAAGCTTCTTAGGATGTCGGATTAATTAGTGACCTGCTAAACATTTTGGGGTCTAGTTGATCTGTTATCATCATTCTAGTTGTGCATGTCCTCGACAGATTGATTTCAATTTACAACAATAGAGGCTAAGCAGTGATATGATTAAAGTATTAATAATGTCAGAGGCACACACTATCCTACACAATCTCACATGGGTGTGGGGCATATATTATTATCATCGGTCTTCATTCACAGAAAATGGTGTAGAAATAATGTTTTATGCAATTTCAAAAAAACAAAAGAAAATACTCCTTTTTTTATCCACTCTGCAATTCCACTACAAAAATAAAAATAAAAAATCATCTGCTATTAAGAGAACAGCCTCAACTGAGTAATCGATTCCTTGATTTTAATATTGAACTCACATAAACCATGGTATTACCAGATTCAGTCATTCCTATTTCCTTGAATCAAAGGAAATCAAAACAGGAAGACAGCTCAAAGACTATGCCAAAAGAAACCACAGAAAATGATATCCAGTGAAAAAACATAGATTATGCATTAAACACTGGCTCTATCATTAAGCATCATACTGTTAGAAAAATCTAAAGCATCAATCAGAACTTGACATGCGCTACCGCAAGTAGAAGCTAACTTAAACAAAATTTTGTGCCTAAAAATGGGCAACACTACTGATTACTGGTAAAACTACACAATGCAACATGCATAGCAGCACAACAAAAGAATCTCAATTAATATTCTAAATGATTTAATTCACTTATGTATAGAATAACACTATTCACAAGCATCTCACCGGAATGTGAACAGTCGGAGCCCCACCAAAGTAGGAAGAGAAAAGCTCTGCATCTAAGGTTGCACTCATCAAAATCAGCCTCAGTTCAGGCCGCCGAGGCAGAAGATCTTTCAGTACAATAAGTAGAAAATCTAGAATCAAATATGCATCATGTTAGAAACCACATCCCATATTCTCAAGGATAACATCCATTAAGGCAACATTTTACCTTCATTCATTCCACGTTCATGAATCTCATCGACAATAACATGGGTTATACCCTTCAAATTTCTATCTACCAGTAATCTTCTCAACAAGATGCCAGTGGTGCAAAAGAGTAGGTGGGTGTCCCTCCCTTTCATACCCTCCAGCCGAACTTTATAACCAATCTTCAAAGAAGGAAACCAACAAAGAGAGAAATATTACTTAGGATAAAAACCCCAAGAAAGGTAATGGATGGCACAGTGACCTCAAGTGGCTGTATTTGCATCAGAAAACTCACCATCTCACCCAATTTCTCTCCCCTCTCTGTGGCAACCCTTTCAGAAACAGACATAGCAGATATTCGTCGAGGCTGAGTACAGATAATGCTACATTGTGCTCCATGAACAGATTCAATCTCAGATTCTAAAATGAATTGGGGAATCTGAGTGGTTTTCCCACACCCAGTTTCACCTGAGACGATAACAACCTGTAAAAATACAAAATTCTACCTATTATAGAATTGCACCAAATCACTTAATGCCGGTGGGAAAAAGAAAAGGGACATAAACGCTACTCAAAACAAGTTATATCATTTATAAAGTTACAAATCCTGATAATTAAAGATGTGCAATATAAAGGCTTTAAGGGGACACCACCCACGTATCCAAATCAAGTAGAGCAACCACAATTCATCATTTGGTGTTGTAGCTAATAAAGACAAAATCATTTACCATTCTCGTGGATAAAAAAGATTAAGTCTACACTACTCCATACATAGGTCCTGTTTGGGAACTTAGCTATTTTAGTTGACTTTTTGGCTATTTGGCTATTTTAGCCTGGCTAAAAAAGATGTGTTTTGGATGATAGTTGGCTTTTTTTTTTCTTTTCTTTTTTTTTGTAGTTGATTTGATGGTTGTGAGAGAATGTAAAATGGCTATGGTTTTGATGTGGCATTTTGTTTTACTAGCTATTTTAGCCTTTTTTGTCTTAACTGGCTATTTTAGCCATACTTTGGCATCCCAAATGGGGCCATAATAGGAATTGGTTACAAACTTTTGGGGCTCTAATTGAGGGGAGGGAGAGTGAAGGGAAAAGTTAGTTAAGAGGAGAAGGGAAGGAAGGAAAAGGGAACAGAGGAGGTATCCTCCGACTTATTTGGCTACACAATACTTAATTAAGGGGTGAGGAACATATTAGGTATTACAAAATATTATTATGAGAAGCACTTTACTTCCCTTCCGTTTCCTCCCAATTTTGCAGGGAAAGCGCAATGCTTAACATGTTCACTCGCTCTGCTCCTCATAACCCTCCACACACTTCCTTTTCCCTCCTTAAAAATAAACCAATCATGATATTAACTAACTCTTCTCCAAATCCTTCACTTTCCCTCCTAAACCATCAATCCAAACAAAGTGTAAAAGACAAGAAAAGCAAGTTTTAAAATATATATATATAAAAACTTTTAATAAAATTATACATTATTGTGGGTGGTGATAAGGACTTCACATCCTTTTAGACAAACAAGCCCCATTTGATTGTCCAGATTGGACATAAGAGTTTGAGGAAGATATGTAATACCTAAGGATAAGGATGGAATATAAATATGTTATAAGATATGAGATGGATTATATATACTGTGGAGTCACTTATACTATATTTGGTCAAGATAGGATATAAGATGGGATAAGAGGAGAGTAATTATTTTTGACCTTTGGAAGAAATATGAGCTATATCCAACGGTGGGGGATATACAATACTATGGGTGTTGGGGGGGGGTGTTATTACATATCTCCCCTTTGTATCACATACTATCCGAACTCCACATGGAGCAACCAAACACGGGATATAGGGAGATAAAAACAAAAAATGTGGGACCCACCTCATATTATATTCGGTCCCACACCCATATCCGGCCTTTATGTCCGGTAAACAAGTAAGGCCAAAGTTTCATTAGTCAAAAAACACAAATATAAAAAATTAATAGGAAAAAAAGGCATGCCTCTTTAGTCATCGTAAATTTGTAACAGTCTTTTTTCCATCATTTCAAACAGAAGAAGTTCATAGCAACCTGGGGCCAGGCAACCAATCAACAAAAGCAGAATTTGAAATCCTGACATACCTGATTCTGTGAAATGGCCATTAATAAAGCCTCCTTCTCTTTATAAGCAGGAAGACTCCTACGAAATTCCAGCAGCTTTCTACCTTCTGAAGATTCCTATAACAAATCAATTTATCACAACATTTGTACCATTCTATTCTAAAAATTCAGGATCAGACAAACTACCATAACTTGCATGATTCCTGAAGTAAATAAAGAAAAAAACACTCTTTATAAGAAGAAGAAGAAGACAATTATGGGTCCTTATGTTCACTATGTGTTTTCTAGTGTGAACACCTAAACAAGCTTTGTGCTATGTTTATTTTTAATGAATGAAATACCTACTAAAATGGGCTGGCTATTTGTAAAAAAGCACATTTTGATAAACAAAAAAAGTGATTTCACTTTACCATATATCAATAATGTATTATGACTTAACATTTTTCACATTGAGGCCAAACCAAACTAACACTCAAAATGGAAAAGGGGGGGGGGGGGTTGCAAGAGGTTCCTCTTTTTCCTAAAGCGTCTGTTTCTACACAACCCTTTTATTCCTTGGTGGTCCTCCTCTTTGTTGTGAGGGTCCTTATCCATCCACTTGTCACCTTCACACCCTCCAGCCTTTTTCCCGCGTGGTGCATACTGCTGGGTCACTTCCATCTGCTGAGCTGGAACAGGTGCCCAATCCGCTTCTGCCACCACAGCTCTCCCCCATGTGATGATGGCTTTGCATGCTCTACTACTACACTCACACTCTTTTTGGGGGTCTCCTTGCTCAAGCTGTGGTTCCAGGAGGTTTTCAGTGGTCTAGAGAGACCTTGGACACTGTATCTTGATAAGGACACACAGAATCTCCATGATCTGTATCATCATACTAGGTGGGAGGCAAGCTTTCTCCTCCTCACCCTAGGTGAGGTTACGATTGTAATTTGACTTGGAGGGCTTCCTCGTGTTTCGTTGTGTTCTTTTTCCCCTGAATAGAAGGTTTGTCTTTGTATAATTGATATTTATTAATATAAATTTATGTTTCAAAAGTAGATGTTATTAGGAATAAAATGTGCTAGAATAGCAACAGGGTATAAGACTTCAGTTGTTGATTGACCACATGTATGCATTAAGAATTTAATCATTCTCAACATCCAAGTGAGAGTCCTTATTTTGTTTCATTTGTTTCTTGTTTCTTGTTTTTTGTTTCTTGTTTCTGATAATTCAGTTATTAAGTTCATTATTACACAATCAAACAAGTATTATACAATCAACAGATGTAATAGCACCATAAATTGCACTAACAGTTTTATCTCCTAAACCTACACATGCATGATTTGATTTAGAAAAAGTACTTTCCACGTATAGAAAAGTGACCCAAAGACATGCTCGTTTCCAACCTCTGAAATGAGGACAAGCAAAACAAATGCATTCAGATAATTAAACAAAAAGGACGCTATTGTAAATGTCAAGAAGGTATGAACCTGCCAAACTTGTTGCTGACTGCGCATTTGCAAACTTCTTTTCCAAATGATGTTCTCCATGGCAGCCTTACTCTGTGGCAGTGGCTCTGGTTGCTCAAAAAGCCCCTCGTCAGTGGCAATGCTACAGCTACTGTTTGATCTTGAAATATCCCAAAAACCTTCCATACTCCTTGACTTTTGAGAAAGGTATTCTCCAAGATAACAATCCACTCTCCTTTGTAAACCAGGAGGTAAGATCACCTGTCAATCCTTAAAAGATCCAGTTAAATGGCCTAACAAAGGGGTTAAAATGTTGTCGATAATAAAAAGAAGGGAATCATTACGTAACACCCTACGCAATAACATTAATCTTACTCAAAATTAAAATAAGGGATTAAGTTTTGGACAAATAAAAAGGAACCAATTATTTTATAGCACATTAAAAAATCCACAACAGCATTATACCAAAGAAATCAGAATTTGGTCAAACAATAACTCGATGCATTAAGTGGAGAAAACCTCAAGAAAGTACCTCTCTCTGTGGCCGCTTATCATCCAGATCAAATCTATAGTTTGGCAGTGGGACCTTACTAACAACGACAACTTTTATGTATAAATGGCTGCCAAGAAAAAGCATTCAGTAACAAATGTAATGACAAATAATCTGTTCTTATAAATTTAGATGAAGAGTGAAGATACCTATACAAACCCATTTTGCTTGCCAAAGCCGCTATTTGCTCAAAATCATGTCTATCCTTTTTCTCCCTAGACACCAATTCTTGTTTATCCTTGCTACGTAAAAATGTAGTCAACTTCCATCTCCACCCGCCAACGTCATCAGAGATAGAAGTGCCCTGTAGAACATAGTAGAAAGTTCAGACAACCAGTAACAAACCCACAGCCATGGGGGGAATCATTTGTCCATACAGACAAACACACAAAGCTAATCCAGCGAATACGAAACCAGTTACACAGAGCAATGGATACCGAGATGAACGAGTGACATGGCAAAAAAAGACAGTTAAAAATGGAACATTCATAAGAAACTGAACCAAGGTGCAGACTTGACATGGCTCAAATTAAAGGCTAATGAGAACAAGGGGAAAACCAAAATTGACATATCCAGAAGACAGAGAAAATGACTTCCACAAGAGTTGCTTCCTTCTGGCACTCTTTAGCACATTTCCCCCCACTTGTCTATGGGAAAAAAAGGGACATATGCTAATAAAGTTCTAACATGTAATTTTAACGTAATTACGAACCTAGATAGAACTAATGTCACTTAGACTCCAGCTGAGTCAAAAATTTACCATTAGGATAAAATTGACCAACCTATGTGTTATTTCGGGCCAATGTCACAGCTGCTAACCATTAAAAATATTCAAAACTATAAGAGATCTACTATATATCATTGGAATGTTTTATCGGAACACTGCACCTTCTATGTGGTTTCTCATGTGGTATAGTGGATCCATCATTTATTTTAGGACAAACTTCACTTTAACCTCTAGTGCTTTGGCCCAACTGCACATAAACCCCTAATCATTTGGATATAAACACCTAACCCCTATGTGTTTTGTAGACTAAAGTGTACCGTTAGGCCCGTTAGCTCCTTAAGCAAAAAGGCTAGAATAGTATTGTATATAAGTAAATCAATGGCATTTTGTCATTTTTTTGAAAGATAAAATTGACTTTAACCCTATTTGCTTTACTCCATGTGTGATTTACCTCTGATATTTGAAAATAAGAACATAACCCCCTTATGACCTAGCACATGTTTCACACTTGATGTTAATTTGGATGGAACGTTTGACGGTATACTTCATTTAGTCCACAAACCACAAGAACATTATAGTTATTTCCAAATGATATGGGTAGTTTGCACATGCACATTGAAGTAAAATTTGCCCTTTATTAAATATGCCCATTGTCTTGAATTGAATAAATACACCTAGAGGGTAAAATAGTATAGTGAAATAAATCAGGTGACAAATACCATTTCTCATAGTATAATAGACGGTAGATTCAAGTATATAACCCCACCTTGATATTACCAAGTGAAGTACTGAATAAAGGTATAGTCTTCTGGTGTTTATGTCTCAGATTTTGGGTTTTTCAAAAATACCCCTATATCAGTTATATGGGCAGTTATGCACTAAATTCAATTTATTTATTTATTTTTAAATTCAAATCTCTCAACTTTCAAATTTTTCAGATTCATTTCAATTTTCAGATTTTGAATTCAATCATACAGTTTACGGTCTTATTTTCTGAAACAAAATGTAAGCATGTGGACCTCAAATTGAAATTGCCAGTCCACCTTAACAATAAATTATTTCAGCTTTGGCATAGCCAAGTAATTTCACTTCACGACCACACTGATTAAACAAAAGTCAACTTAAAATCAGAGAGACATCGAGAGACTCACTGGATTGGACGAAGGCTCGATGTCACGATCGGAACCTGCCTCGCAAAAATCATCGTCGAAAACGAACTGATAATTCTTCTTTCGCTGCTGCTGTTGGTGCTGTTGATTGTGTTGATACTGATTGTGGGGCAAGTAAGGGTAGGGATTGGCTCTAGGGTTTGCGAAGCTGTTGGTGCTGACAGTCTTGGAGTCGACGACGGAAGCAGAGGAAGAGTGATTGGACGAAGCAGGGGTAGTGATGACGGAGCGGAGGCGGTGGGGAGGAACGTAGACGGCGCCGTACGATGACGGTGGCGACCGGTCCTTCATTGCGGCAGCGAGGTGGTGGTGGTGGTGGTGGTGGTTTTATGGATTAGGGTTTTGAGGTGAATAAATGTAGATGGAGAAATTGGAGCTAAGTATGAGCAGCGTTGATGCAAGGTTTTGGAGATTCTTCGGTGAATTTCATTGTGCACGACTGGTTGATTTCAAGTACTATATTGATTCTTTTGGGCTGGCTGATCATAGCTTCGACGCCACTTCAAGTACGACATCATATTTGTATTTTTGATAGATTTGGTAGAGTTTTTTAAATATAATTTAATTTAGAATAGGAATTATATTTTAAATTTGTGAGTTTTGAAATTATGATTTGAGTATGAAAAATTTGTTTGGTTAATGAATTTTAAAATTTTTTTTGAATTAAGTGGGAATTTTTTTATGTGACATATGATATTTGATACAAAAATTTACAACTCATAACTAAATACACAACTCAAAATTCTATTTAAAGCTCATAAAAAAATTTAAAATTTTTTTTTTTATTGAATATATGAAAATTAACATGTGTCAAAAAAAAATTACTGCTCCAGTCAATCGATGGGACGTCCAGCGGGACGACCGTTTAGTACAAATTTTCTCGCCTCGGACAGAGTTTTCAAAATTGAAAGTAGAATTAACTTTTGAAAACCGTAAACAAACATTAAACGCAAATAAAATGATAGAAATATATTTAGACAATACAACCAAACATAGACTTTATTTTTATTTTTATTTTGTAAATTACGTTTAATTAAATTACACGTATAATAATCTTATAATTTTAATATAATTATATTAACTCTTTCACAATTTTAAAATTTACCATCAATTATAAGAATTCCATTTAAGATGGAGATTTATAACTTAATAATGCGTAGAGCTAGTTTCGGCCGGAGTCCGGGATCTCTACTTGGTCAAATGTTAGGTGCACGCCAGATGGAAGATTCAATCTAGTCAAGTTGGGACAACTTTGAACCTTCAGCCCGGTGGAGTTGTACGGCCTGCTAAGTTGGACGGGATTTGTTCTCAGAAGACTGGACTCGACCGAGCGAAAGCTCAGTCATGATCGTAGAGCTCGGTTGAGCCTACGATTAGGAATTACTGACGAGACCAGACGAGTAGCATGGTCCTAAGGTGAGGACGTGGCACCGCACTAAGCATAGCTCGGTAGGAAGTGCTACGCAGCACATTGAGGTCACGAGAGGAAAATATTGTCATCCGCATGCGTCAATACTGTTTGGTGGTTTCATCATTTGGTGTTTAGTTGTATTAGCGTTGACACGTGGGAGAACGTAAGAAGAGAACAGGTCCACGCCTCCAGAGAGGAATGGATGCAGAGGCGCGCATAGAAACTATAAACGGTGTTGCGCCTCCATACACAGGTTTGGGAAATCTTGTGATCAGAGCTCACCTACCACTTTGTCTTTTCTTTTTTCTCTCTCTCTCTCTCTCTCTCTCTCTCTCTCTCTCTCTCTCTTCCTCTCTAAGGGTGTTAATTTGACCGTTGGAGGGATTTTCCGGCAGCACACCCGCTGGGTAGCTCACCGTCGTTGTATTCTCAAGTTATTCGGAGTGAAGCGAAGCTTGGACACAAGGAGTACGGACAGCGACGAATATTTGCTCCCCATACAATTAGCGTTGTCTATGGGAAGCTTTGACAGACAAAACCTTGTCCTCCAACCTCGCTTATCAGATCATCTTTCGTGGCGAACAACAACGACATTTTGCTGACTGCTATCGATGGCATCACTCTGGAGTCCGTCTGGAGGAGAGATGGTCCTCTAGCCATCCCGACCATGGCTAGCCTGGAAACTTCTTATAGAGTGCTTCCCAGAGATGTACGAGACAAGCACGTAAGGAGCAATGACCACTCGGAGAGCCCAGATGGGCACAAGCGGTGAAAAGAGTCACACGCTCATCGTCTGGAGCACAAACCGAGAGACCAAGATGCTATCATTAGGAGAATAGTGGCGGAGATGGAAGTGTTGAAGCAGTAAGTCAAAGAAAAGGGTGTTGCTGGAGTAGGTAAACACAGTGAGCGCAACCTATCCCGTCGCTCAGGCAGCCAAAACCAACGGAGGACCCCCTCCCTTTCTATCACCAAAAACTATGGGGTTGGTGACTCTAACCAGCCGGTGGAGAAGTCTTGTGCGCGAGATAACAGTTATCGTCCCTCAAGTCCGTTGATGATGTCGAGATACTCTTACTTCGCCCGTTCGGAGGATTTGAGGGATGTCCTGGAAAAGTGAGCGCGCCAGTGTGAGGCACAAAGGTGCCGGCATTGCAACGGCTATCCCGCGAAAGTCATGCTAGTGCCAGTGAAGAAGTCGTAATGCTGCCACCACGCCCAGCTGCACATGTGCCTTTGGACAAAGATTTGGCAAGGCTAAGTGCCACTCATTTTTCCCTCGAGATAGAAATCACACCGCTTTCTGCAGGCTTCCACCAACCCATGTTTACACTCTACGACGGAAAAACTGATCCATATATGAACGTAAAGCCACTACTGGCAAGTCATGGCTGGTTACAGGTGAAATGACGCCCTTATGTGTCTTATTTTCCCATCAAGTTTGGGTGAGTTGGGCCTAAAGTGGTTCGAGAGGCTGTCGGAGGAAAGTATCGAGAGGTGGCAGCAGCTGGCGGAGGCGTTTGTAACCCTATTTAAAACCAACACCAAAACGCCTAAGGAAGTCGACCACCTTCTCAGTGTCAAGATAGAACTAAGCGACTTACTTAAGGCATACAACGCCAAGTATTGGGAAACCTTTAACGAAATTCTCGATTTCCTAACCAACCCGGCAATTACCTAATACAAGCGCGGTCTCCCAGTCAGACATAGACTGCGGGACTCGCTTACTATGAGTCAACCAACTACCATGAAGCTGCTAATGCAACGTATCAACGAGCATATCCGAGTTGAGGACGATGAGACCGTAGCTACCGCGAAGGCGAATCCGGTAGCGACGAACCAGAGGGTGGCCGGAAAGGTTCACGCGGTCGGACATGAGGCAAACTGTCCGAATAACCATAAAAGAGAATCAGATTGCAGTGGTAACCACAACAATCGGGATAAGGGTCGTAACGACCGAGCTGACTACCCCCACAACGCCACGAAAGATGCAAAGAGAAAGTTGAACTCCCGAATAGGCATCACTACGGTTTTCAAGATCCCAATCTACCGCATCCTTAACGAGATCCGCGACGAGACATACGTCATGTTTCTAGCTAAGTTGGGTGATGCACAACGGGGCTTCAATCCGCGATATTGTTGTACCTTTCACGATGAGCGAGGGCACCGTACTAAGGACTTTTGGCCTTTGAAACAACATCTGGAGAAGTTGGTGGCTGCTGGCCACTTGGACCGTTATATTGATAGAGACGTCAAGGCAATGCCCCAAGCTCCAGCTGAACCTAATGGTTTGGATGCCTTAGACGCGCCCTCCCAAGGCATAATCAACTTGTTCCATGGATTGTTAAGCCGACGTGGGTATGTGAGCTCCGGGGAATGATAAAAAAGGTAGAACAAATGCTCGAAGTGCTATCTGTCTAGCCCGCAGTCAAGAGGGACAAGACCGAGGCAAAAAGACGTACTCAGCTTTTCAAGCCAAGATCTTGACCGCATTCAGACGCCACATAATGACGCATTGGTGGTCACGTTTCACGTGAAGGATTTTGACATTAGGCGCATTTTGATCGACCAAGGCAGCTTAGTTGAAATAATGTATTATGACGCCTTCAAACTGCTTAAGTTGAATGACAGAGACTTGGCCCCAGAAACCTTACCACTGGTCGGCTTCAACTCGCAGCCGGGATGGCCGGTAGGAAAGATCATCCTACCGGTCAAAAGTGGGTCGGTCGTCAAGCAAGTGGAGTTTTAGGTCCTGAAGGTGTCCTCAACATATAACTTGATCTTAGGTAGAGAATGGCTTCATGTCATGCAAGCGGTGGCGTCGACTTACCACCAAGTCATGAGGTTCCTTTCCACCACCAGGATGATAGAAGAAATTTGGGGTGATCAAGTCATGGCCAAGCAGTGTTTCGTGGCCGTAAACGGAAGCCGAGCAACCAAAGGTTTTGTACAAATGATCGAAGGACCGGAAAATCAAAGTGTCCTGGACGATGTAGATACCAGGGTCGAAAAGAAGGCTGTTGAAGACTTGGTAGAGGTAAGGATCAATGAGAGTGATCCTGAGAAGTTATTTCTATTGGGATCCAACTTGACTGCTCAAGAACGATTAGAGATGGTCAATTTCTTGGTGGCAAACATCAAAGTGTTTGCATGGGTGCCTTACGACATGCTTGGCGTCGATCCAAGCTTCATTTTCTATCAACTCAATGTTTTCCCCAACACCTGGCTTGTCATTTAAAAAACACGAAGATCGATCCTTCATTACGCCGAGGTGGTGGTGGAAGAGGTGAAGAACTTGCTGGAAGTAAGGGCTATCTGGGAGGTGTACTACCCTCGATGGTTCTCTAACATGATAGGCCGAGCTAGTTTGGGCCAGAGTCCGGGGTCTCTACTTGGTCAAGCATTAGGTGCACATTAGATGGAAGATTCAATCTAGTCAAGTTAGGACAACTTTGAACCTTCAGCCCGGTGGAGTTGTGCGGCCTGCTAAGTTAGACAGGATTTGTCCTTAGAAGATTGGACTCGATCGAGTGGAAGCTCAGTCATGATTGTGGAGCTCAGTTGAGCTTATAATTAAGAACTATCGACGAGACCAGACAAGTAGCACGGTCCTAAAGTGAAGGCGTGGCATTGCACTTAGCATAGCTCGGTGGGAAGTGCTATGCGGCGCATTAGGGCTGTGGGAGGAAGATTCCATCATCCACACGTGTCAATACCATTTGGTGGTTTCGTCATTTGGTGTTTAGTTGTATTAGCGCTGATACATGGGAGAACGTAAGAGGAGAGTAGGCCCACGCGTTTAGAGGGGAATGGACGTAGAGGCGCGTGCAAAAACTATATAAAACGGTGCTGCGCCTCCATACACAGGTCTGGGAAATCTTGTGATCAGAGCTCACCTACCA